TTACCTTCTTGCCGGAGCGGTACCTATATATCTACTTGCACTTTGACGTGCTTTTGAACTGCTAGGTTGGCAGGAGCAGGGACCAAGCAACAGGAGCTCACCCCATTGCGGGGATCCGAACCGTTGACCTTCTGATCGGCATGTCCTAGGCTCTGTGGTTTAACACACAGCGCCACCCGCGTCCCTGGGCCATAGGTTAGCTATCCCCAAATTAGTCAGTGAAGTGCAGCTATCTTAGATGATGCTGAGATTCAAGAGTCTTGTGCTCCTATCGACTGAGCTATTCCTTGGTTGAACATTTCCTGTGGATCATCCCATATGTTCAGTAAACACATCTGCGGTGAAGTTGGAATGGCATATTTGAGTGTTTTGGCCATTTCTTGACAAAGGGCATTCTAACATTAAGAGAGAGGGTAACAACATTTGCAGGATCCATGTAGGAGAACGTCATCTGCCATAGGCCCTCAAGCTCAGGTGTTTTGATAGCTGATAGCCTGATTTATGGTGTTGGAGGTCTTGAGAGTCCCATGGACTGCAAGAAGATCCAACCTATCCTATTCTTAAGGAAATCAACCCTGAGTGCTCACTGGAAGAACAGATCCTGAAGCTGAGGCTCCAATACTTTGGCCACCTCATGAGAAGAGAAGACTCCCTGGAAAAGACCCTGATGTTGGGAAAGATGGAGGGCACAAGGAGAAGGGGACGACAGAGGACGAGATGGTTAGATAGTGTTCTTGAAGCTACCAGCATGAGTTTGTCCAAACTGCGGGAGGCCGTGGGAGACAGAAGTGCCTGGCGTGCTCTGGTCCATGGGGTCACGACACGACTTAACGACTTAACGACTAAACAACACAGCCTGATGCAATGAGGCAATGGAGAGAAGTTATGGAGAAAAAACCTGCCTAGTTTTTCTTCCTTGGACACCTTCACTGCTGCTGGCTCTGACTTAATGGAAAGGAAGGGGATGCATACTTGGTGACGGGAGAGTGAGCCAAGTGGAACAGTCTCCCAAATACAGTGGTACCTTGGGTTAAGAACTTAATTCATTCTAGAGGTCCATTCTTAACCTGAAACTGTTCTTAACCTGAGATACCACATTAGCTAATGGGGCCTCCCGTTGCTGCCGCGCCACCGCAGCACGATTTCTGTTCTCATTCTGAAGCAAAGTTCTTAACCAGAGATACTATTTCTTAGCGGAGTCTGTAACCTGAAGCATCTGTAACCTGAAGCGTCTGTAACCCGAGGTACCACTGTAGACTGTTTTACCAAAAGAATTTCGGAGAGCTTGCTCGCCTCAACTTTGAGCTCTTCTACTAGAATGTGAACCAAGCATTCAGCAAGACCTACCTTTGTGAAAATTAGACTTCTTTTGGGGGATAAACGCACTAAATGCATGTTGTCACTTTTGGAGAGGCGGAAATATTGGCGGTGATAACAGAACATGCCTTTTCAACATCCCCAGTAATCTCTGCTCAGGGAAGGACAATATTCTGGAAAAGACACCCAGAGGCTTCCACTGGATGTCCTTGAGGATGCAAATCCGAGAAGGATTTCATCAGTGAGTGTTCAGATTACTTGTGCACACAGCATTTACATAAATCTCATCTATGGTATTGTGTATGGATCGGCAGCTGGGATTTTGCATAGCACCGTCCTGTGTTTCATCGAAATTGCTTTCCTGGGTTTTGTGGGGAGAATTGGGAAGAGAATGCTGTTCGACGAGAAAGCTGTTATCTAAGCTTTTCATTTCGAGAAATCTTTTTAGGGCAGCGGAATCTCATAACTCAGCAAGCAAAAAAGCTGGCTGGGGCGACTGCGATAATTTATCAGGCGTGCTAGAAAAACTCATTTTAAGCTAAGCAAACAAAATAGAACAGGGTAAGACAGTCAAGCGCTGGTTGCTTTTGAGCTGTTCGTCACATTATGTTCCCTGTCTGTTTCTTGAGGACGTGGGTTTGAAAGGGTCTGGAGGATTGGAGAGGCAAAACTTAGTAGTGGTGCTTTGCATGTAAAATGTCCTAAATTCAGTTCCAGGACTCTTCATTTAGAAAACTCCAAATAGGAGGCTCAGGAGAAAACTCTTATCTTGGAGAGTTGCTTTCAGGCAGAGATGATGTGAGCAGAGTAGGGCTACACCATCCATTTAAAGCACTATGATAGGTAAAGGTAAAGGATCCCTGGATGGTTAAGTCCAGTCAAAGACGACTATGGTGTTGCAGCACTCATCTCGCTTTTCAGGCCGAGGGAGCCAGCGTTTGCCCACAGACAGTTTTCCAGGCCATGTGGCCAGCATGACTAGACCGCTACTGGTGTACAGAGGACCATGATGAGTGCCAGAACACATGAAAACACAATTTACCTTCCCACTGCAGCGGTACCTATTTATCTACTTGCGCTGGCATGCTTTCAAACTGCTAGGTTGGTAGGAGCTGGGACAGAGCAACGGGAGCTCACCCCATTGTGAGGATTCGAACCGCCAACCTTCCTATCAGCAAGCCCAAGAAGCTCAGTGCTTTAGATCATAGCACCACTCATGTCCCCCAAAGCACTATGATACCACTGTAAGCAGTTCTAGGTTTCCCCACAGAATTCTGGCAGCTGTAGTTTGTTAAGGGTGCTGCAAATTGTTCGGAGACCCCTGTTCCCCTCACGGAGCTGCAATTCCCAGAGTTCCCTATTGATTGTTAAACCACTCTATAACTAGCTTTATATTATAAACAGCCCTGTGATCCCCAGATGAAGGGTGGTATAGAAATTCAATACACATAATAAACATTAGTGATTTAAATGCAGCATGGGAATGTGGTCTAGATCAGGGCAGCCCTACCAATTGGCACAGTGAGACAACTGCTTCGGGCAACTGATGCTGGAGGTCAACAATAGTAGCCTCTCAGCTGTTCCTCCTGAGCTACTTGCCTCTCTTGAGGACACAGCTGTGTATGTACATGACCTGTTCTTGAGCCACTAAGTGAACCTGCTACCCCCAGGTGTAGTGAAGGGTGCGATTTTATCATCAGGCTTTTGTGGAATGGGGAGGGGTGCCATCGTGTTCTTCACCTCAGGCAACAAAATATAAGCTTATTAAATTTGTAAATTGCCTGACTCTTGAAATAGAGTCCTAAAGTGATTTGCAAGCAAGTAAAAATAATAATACAAAAATGAAACTTTGTTGTTGTTTAGTCGTTTAGTAGTTTCTGACTCTTCGTGACCCCATGGACCAGAGCATGCCAGGCACTACTGTCTTTCACTGCCTCCCGCAGTTTGGTCAAACTCATTCTGGTAGCTCCGAGAACACTGTCCAACCATCTCGTCCTCTGTCATCCCCTTCTCCTTGTGCCCTCCATATTTCCCAACATCAGGGTCTTTTCCAGGGAGTCTTCTCTTCTCATGAGTTGGCCAAAATATTGGAGCTTCAGCTTCAGGATCTGTCCTTCCAGTGAGCACTCAGGGCTGATTTCCTTCAGAATGGATAGGTTGGATCTTCTTGCAGTCCATGGGACTCTCAAGATTCTCCTCCAGCACCATAATTCCAAAGCATCAATTCTTTGGTGATCAGCCTTCTTTATGGTCCAGCTCTCACTTCCATACATCACTACTGGTAAAACCATAGCTTTAACTATACAGACCTTTGTTGGCAAGGTGATGTCTCTGCTTTGAGCAGGAACAGGCAAACCACTCCAGTATCCATGCCAAGAAAACTCCATGGACAAAGACAACAGGCATTTAATGAAATTTACAGATTTAGCAATAGAATAGAATATTGTTGATTCTGCCCACATGCCTAGGAAAAAAAAAACACCTTTTCCTGATGCTGCAATGATGGCAAGGCCGGGTGGACATTTCTGGGAAGACCATTACATAAAACAGAGATGATATTAAGATAGATTAAGGGCTGGGTGATCCTCTGAACAGGTGTGCCTGGCTATGTGAACAGGGCCCAATTATATCATTTTTCCTCCCAATATGGGGACCTCTCACGTCTGACTCCTCAAATCCATATGCTTCTAATGAGTCTTGCAATATGCTTGGCAGTCAGGATGACAGAAGGAGACCACTCTTTGACGTTGACATTTACTTGACAGTAGGTACACAGAGGCATGGAAAAGACCATGCAAATGTCGCAAACAGGATGTTGACCTGCCCAGTCCATATTTACATTTCTAGCAAAACAATCCTAGATTAAATAAATTTCTGCAGCATTTCTAGCCCTCCCTTGGATAAAAGACAGAGAGCTGCATGGCATCTTAGCCACACACACAGTCTGCTGTCCAAGGTACAGGAAGTCTCTCATCAGCTTCTGTTTGTCCGCAAATCGAGGAGAGATGTTGGGATCAGCTTTTCTCCATTTTTTCTTTCTCATTGTCATCACAGCTCTGGATGTCATCGGCTTGATGGGAAATGGATTCATCACCATTGCAAGTGGCCTCGAATGGTCCAGAAACAAAACGCTCTCTTCCTCCGACATGATCCTGTTGGTGCTGAGTGTGTCCCGCCTTCTTTTCCTGGGGCTAACTTTGGGCATCCATTGCTCAGTTTTTACTGACATCAGCAATCCAAAACATATGCCAAAATCTGTCGTTTTCCTCTGGGCATTTTTCAATGCTGTTACTCTGTGGACAGCCACGTGGCTTGCTGCCTTTTACTGCATGAAAATTCTCACCTTTACCCAGCCTCTCCTCGTGAAAATTAAGATGGGGATCTCCAGGATGGTTCCACACCTGCTCCTAGGATCAGTGTTGGGTTCCTTACTTGTCTCCCTTCCTTTCAACTGGTTTGAAGATTGCTACCAATGCTGCAATGGGACAAATCTCCCTTTGGGTAACAGTACTGGGAGGTGTTATGTTCAGACCACCGGGATGCTATTTTCTTCTCTTCTGTACATTGCAGGGACATTCCCATCCTTTATTATATGCTTAGCTTCTTCTGTCTTCTTGATTCACTCCCTTCTGCACCATGTTAAGAGGATGCAACAGAACAGAGAAGGTTTTAGAGATCAGAGGATGGACGTTCAATTGAGAGCGGTCAAGATGGTGGTATCATTCCTTCTCCTCTACACTGTAGCCTTTGCAGCTGAGATTTCACTCATGTTGTTCATCAATCCCTTGACAGTGGTATTGTCCACTGTTATGGTGGCCGGATATCATTCAGGACATGCCATCAGTTTGATTATCACAAATTCCAAACTCAGGCAGATGTTCCTCATGACTTTGTGGGATCCTCTGCGTCAGAGACTATGGGCAACTATATCACCTTCCTATCCCAAGACTCCCAAAGGAACAAGTCAGTCTTAGGGATGTTTGAAGCATCTTGTGAAATTTTATTAGTAGTCAAGCCTCTTTTTTTCCCAAACCTCCCTAAAAATTACTCAGACATTTCTTTGAGCAGAAGCCAAACAGCCTTTGGCAACATCTCTGTATCTCCATTGGCAGAGTCTGGAGGAAATGATCTTATTCTTCTATCATGTGGCTTGAAGGAAAGATCATTTGCTACAACAGAAAAAGCTGAGAAACACTATCCGGCTCCTCATTTGAACAATATTGTCATGTTTCAATAAATAGCTCGTGCTGATTCATGCTGTGGTCTTCAGATGCAGGTGCTGAGGGTGTGTTGCATTGGATTCATGAGCTCTGGAAGAGGAAGTGTGTTGACATTTGTAGCTTTAATTGTGACTGGCAGGGTGGACAAATCAAGGCACATTGTTGCCACTACAGAAAGAAGGAGCCATGCCAATCTCCCATATGTTCATTCATAAATCCATTTGTCCTGTTCCCACATTGATTTGTAATATATACATGGGGGATTTGCACTTTAAATACTTTTTAAGTATGCATGTTATCACAAAATACATGTTTAAATACACATTTTATGTGTATTTTCAAATGCATTTTTTAAACCCAAAATGTGGGAATTGTTCATTCATTTTGGTACTTTTTTTGAAAATTGTATCGCATAAATTTTGGAGAAGTGCGAAATCTGAAAAATGATTATGTTCTGTTCTGTGTATTAGTTTGGAATGTGTCAATTAGCTTGATTCAGTTAAAAATGCAGAGCAATTGAAATCCCATCCATCCCTAGTTGCTGCTGGTAATTTAAATAGTGGACCTGGGAACTGGACCCTAAGGGCAGATGTGTATATAGGAAGTGGGATAAAGAACATAGAGAAAGCACTGTTGCATAATGCCTCTTGCTTGCCTGGCTAAAGGATAGAGAGGGGATGTGAGTGTGAGTGCAAACTAGCAAAAATTATATTCATTGCTCCACCCACTTTTCCTCTGGCTCCACCCACCACTGCGGTGTGGCCCTACAGGCTTAGGCTGAAAATGTTTCCTCACCCATTATCTATTCTGGAGGTTATACTGCAAACAATGGCTAATAGTCACTGATGGCTTTTCTCTGCAGGTGGCCCTAAGAATAAAATACCTGGCTAGATTCTCAATTTCAGAGAATGCATGTCCTCTATTTTATGCATCAGTGGGATGGATTCCACCCTCCCTGATAACTTCTGCCTACCAGGAGTTGATAAGAAATATCTCCCATGGCACTCCTTTTGTTTCCATCTTCTCAAGTTGGAAAAACATCAGTGGCTCATTTCCCTCTGTGTACTTGCTGGAATGACATGCACCAAATGCACATCACCTGGTCACACCTGAGAAGTGGATTCTCTTCCCTCTGCCAGCTCTCTCCCCTGAGTCTCCAGGTAAGAAAATGAGGCTTATGTGTGAGACTCCAGGGATGAAAATGAGGCTTATCATGTGCCATCCATTCTTATCCGCTTGCCACCACTTTGTCAGCTCAGAATGTCATGGACGATGCATGTAAGCTTCAGCATCTATGCTCAGTTGTCTGGTATAGGATATTTAGAGAATAAACTCTTTTGTTTCTTTGCCTTTATCCTTCCTCTTAATAAAGCTTCAGAACTAGAACCTGGAAGTAGATTACGTATATTTTGGAAAGTCCAGTGATCTTTCCTTCTGTGTTCTAAACCTCTCATTCACGTCATGCCATTTAAAAAGGGGGAAATAAAGAGAAAGGTGGTTTAAAAATGCTCAGCAGTGACTTGGGGCAGGGGGTTAAGCAATAGTTGTCCCATCCCAGGATATGTGTGTGTGTGTGTGTTTAGGTTTGGATGGAAGGGAGTAGGGAGAATCTGAACTGCCTCCAGGGCAGGGGGGCAGGTTTTCAAATCCACAACATCCATGAATTTGCCTAACATCCTTTTGAAGCCACCTGAGCCACCATCACATCTTGTGACAGTGAGTCCAATAGTTTTAATTGCACTCTGTGTGAAAATTACTTGTTCTCCTCCCTTATATGCCATGAATGACTCTCCCCACCACTCCATTCTCTCTCTTGTCGTCCCCTTGTCTTTTGCCAGTCTTGCTTTCCCCAGGGAATGAGGCCACAACTTCCATTAAATCCAAGGATCTGCAAGGAACTCAAAAGCCACCCAACATGTGTCACTGTCCGGGTTGTAGGCAGCAGCTGTCCAGACCTGACACACCTTTGGCCTGATGTAGTAGGGCTTTTCTTATGTTCCGAGTGCAACAGCACTCTCACAACTTCTGATTTCTATCAACTGGTGTTCAGAGGTATATTGCCTCTGAAATTGGAGGTATAACACAACCATCATGCCTGTTTGCCTACATCAGTGGTGGCCGAACTTGGCCCTCCAGCTATTTTTGGACTACAACCCCCATCATCCCTAGCTAACAGGACCAGTGGTCAGGGATGATGGGAATTGCAGTCCCAAAACAGCTGGAGGGCCAAGTTTGGCCACCTCTGGCCTACATAGTCCCTTCTGGCAGGCAGATGATGATGATGATGATGATGATAATTGTTGTTGTTTAGTCGTTTAGTCGTGTCTGACTCTTCGTGACCCCATGGACCAGAGCATGCCAGGCACTTCTGTCTTCCACTGCCTCCCGTAGTTTGGTCAAACTCATGCTGGTAGCTTCGAGAACACTGTCCAACCATCTCGTCCTCTGTTGTCCCCTTCTCCTTGTGCCCTCCATGTTTCCCAGCATCAGGGTCTTTTCCAGGGAGTCTTCTCTTCTCATGAGGTGGCCAAAGTATTGGAGTCTCAGCTTCAGGATTTTTGCATGGGCAAAAAAAGAACTGCAAATATTTTTGGAGGGAAGGGAGGAGGGCATGACATTTACCAGAGTTCCCTTTCATCTCTGATAGGTTCACCATATCTCCCCGTCCCCCAATGGCCCAAATGATATTTTGGAGGAAAAGTTGGTCAGGGTAAAGAAAGGATGCCCCCCAAGGAACAGAGTACTGGTGGGGGGGGGGTAGATCAGTCACCAGCCCAAAGGAATTCCACTGATAAGTTTCCTTCCTATAATCATACGCCCACTGACACTGAAAACAGCCCAACACACACATACCAGTTTTTGATGGGCTGCAAATGGGATCATGAAGGAGGAGTATTCTCAATCCTTCCTATTTTATAGCATAAGAAAAAACACACACATCGTTTGTAGCCCTGAAGATCTTAGAATCCAAAGTATGACTATAGGAAGAGAATGGAAAGCAGGGAGGGGTGAAAGTAACAAGAGATGTGTTTGAGCAGATGCATCTTGCAAATGTATGTTCAGGAGAAAGGCTGGGATTAAAGCCAAATTGGAAATCACACCAGACATTTGCATGCCCTGAAACAACACCAGAATAAAACACACAGTATAGATTTCAGGCGACTTCCTGGACCAGGAGAACAAGAATTTTTGTGTGGACAATGCATGTGCTCTGGCTGGATCCCAAAAGAATGGAAGGCTGTAGGACTGATGGAACCAGGTAATACCAATACTTCACATTGCCCTGTCTACTGTTTCTGAACATGCTCAGAGCTACATGCTACCCCTGAAGATCCTTGACAGGATTGTCTGTGGATATATCACCAATCAGAAGCACAGGCAAGGGTGAGTGCAAGGATGTCAGATTCTGTTCATAAAACCTTACAAGTCATAATTGTGAGCCAGGGCGCTGTGGGCATGGCTGCCAGTGCATTCATTGTGGCCGTTGGCTACACAGACTGGGCGAAAAGGAAAAAGCTGCCCACTTGCGACGTGATCCTGGTCTGCCTCTGTTCATCTCGGCTTCTTCTCCAGGGAACCATCCTGCACTCTGCCCTCTTACCGAAGATGTACCAGTGGGAAGTGATCAGAGTCCACTATGTCCTCCTGGTTTTGGCCAGCACAGCTTGCCTCTGGTTTGCTGCGTGTCTCAGCATGTTCTACTGTGCCAAGATCAGCACTTTCACCCAGCGGTACTTTCTGCTAATCAAGCTGAGAGTCGTCAGGATGGTTCCGCAGATTCTGCTGGGTTCGGTGCTGGTCTCTTTGATCTCTTCCCTCCCTTTCATCTGGATGGATTATAGTGTCCACCTCTGCAACTCAACCAGGAGCTTTCTGAGAAACGCCACCTTTGACAGCCCCGTCGGGACCATCTCCTACTTCAAGGGTTTCATCATGTTCCTGACATTGGCAGTCATCCCTCTTCTGTTCTTTGTAGCATCATCCACCTTGCTCATTGCATCTCTGTGGAGACACACCAAGGAGATGAGACACGGTGCGGCGGACAACAAAGACCTGAGGACTGACGCTCACATCACCGCCATTAAATCTCTGATCTCTTTCCTGATGCTCTACATCTGCAGCTTTGTGGCCGAGATGCTTGTGGGAATGCCTTCCTGCCAAGAAAGGAGCAGATGGAAAGATTATTTCTGTTCACTGGTGATTGCTGTGTGTCCTTCGATCCATTCCATTCTTTTGATTCTTCTGAATGTTAGACTGAAGCTGGCACTCAAAAACATGCTATTTTACATGAAATGCTGTTAGGTGATCCATAAAGACAGAATCAGTTGCTTTGGTGGGAACTGGGGGCCTAAAAGAATTTGAGGAAGGAAAACTGCTTAGACCCGTTTTCTTCTTTTAAATGTGCCTATAAATGTGCAGTCATATAGTCTTTCGTTTTTCCTTTTCTTTTGCATTTATATCCCACCTGTTCTCAAACAAGCTCAAGGTGGTGTCTCCAGTTTTATCTTCATAGCAACCTGTGAGTTAGGTTAGGCTCAGAGGCAGTGACTGGCCCTCGGTTACCCAGTGAGGTTCATGGCTGAATGGGGAATTTGAACCCTGGTGTCCCAGGTCCTAGTCTGACACTCCAACCACTACACCACATTGGTTCTCATTCGTATTTTTTAAAAGCAGGTTCATTTCCCCCCAAAAGCAATATTGGCCAATAAGGGATGCTTTGGATAGCGGGCTTTTTAGGTAAAGGTAAAGGTAAAGGTAAAGGGACCCCTGACCATTAGGTCCAGTCGTGGCCAACTCTGGGGTTGCGGTGCTCATATCGCTTTATTGGCCGAGGGAGCTGGCGTACAGCTTCTGGGTCCTGTGGCCAGCATGACTAAGCCGCTTCTAGTGAACCAGAGCAGCGCACGGAAATGCCGTTCACCTTCCTGCCAGAGCGGTACCTATTTATCTACTTGCACTTTGACATGCTTTTGAACTGCTAGGTTGGCAGGAGCAGGGACCGAGCAACGGGAGCTCACCCCGTCGCGGGGATTCAAACCACCGACCTTCTGATCGGCAAGTCCTAGGCTCTGTGGTTTAACCCACAGTGCCACCCGCGTCCCTAGAGGGCTTTTTACAAAAACACAAAATCGTTTTGTATTTAGAGAGTGAAAATTATTTATATCACCTAGATATATTAAATGGTTGCTGCTGTTATTGTAAGCAAAACCAGGACTCTGATCCAAATAACTAGCCTGTGCATTTTTTAAAAAAACGATTTTAAGTCTAAATAAAAAAAAAATTCAAGGAAGCTTTCTTATACAAGTCTGACCACAGTACTGTCTACACTGATTGGCTACAATTCTTTTGAAGGCTTTAGTGGGAGATGCCAGGGGAATTTTAATGCAAGGCTCTACATGAAAAGCAGGTTCTCTGCCACGCAGATACAGTCTTCCACCATAACCCTGAATTTTGCTGACAAAAGCGAACTGGCTGAAAGTGGACTGAGATTGGTGGGGCAGTGCCAGCCTTAACTGGCAGCATGTAAGCAGATCAAACAGAAGTTGAGCTCCTGGGCCTATGACTATGGAGCGATTAGTCAAATGTTGTTACTGTTGGGTTGAAGGAGGATGTTACAATTTGTCTAAGTCAGGGTGTGGATTCCAGAGTGAAGAGCTCCCCAGATTTGCATCTAAAGAGACTGCAATATTATTTCGAGGCTGCTTCCTGTTCTTAGATAAATAGCAGGTGCATAGCTATAGCTTTGCCAGGTGCACCAGCTTCTGGGTTACTTCCACCTGTAGCTACAGAGCCTATGGACTGGCTGAGCAACTAATCCCACACTGTTTCCATTTCACCGGAGTTCATTCACAGGTCTGTTTCATCCTGGTCTGTGCAGATGAAAAGTCCACAATTAGAGATTTTGTATGGATTTCCAACTCTACAGTTGTATGACTCTGTGACATCATACATAAAAATAGATCCTTGTGAAAAGCAAAATATGCATTTCCAGCGCATTTGTCAGCCATATATGCATTCTTTTAATATATAGAAAAATCTAGTTACAAAGGTAAAGGACCCCTGGATGGTTAGGTCCAGTCAAAGGCGGCTATGGGACTGTGGTGCTCATCTCGCTTTCAGGCCGAGGGAGCCAGCGTTTGTCCACAGACAGCTTTCCGGGTCATGTGGCCAGCAGGACTAAACTGCTTCTGGTGCAACGGGACACTGTGACAGAAACCAGAGCGCATGGAAAGGCCATTTACCTCCCGGTCGCAGCAGTACCTGTTTATATACTTGCATTGGCGTGCTTTCGAACTGCTAGGTTGGCAGGAGCTGGGACAGAGCAATGGGAGCTCACTCCGTCACGGGGATTTGAACCGCCAACCTTCCAATCGGCAAGCCCAAGAGGCTCGGTGGTTTAGACCACAGTGGCATCCACATCCCCCAAAGCACTATGATACCACTGTAAGCAGTCATAGATTTTCCCCAAAGAATTCTGGCAGCTGTAGTTTGTTAAGGGACACTGTGATGAGTGCCAGAGCTCATGGAAACGCCGTTTACCTTCCTGCCGCAGCGGTACCGATTTATCTACTTGCACTGGCGTGCTTTCAAATTGCTAGGTTGGCAGGAACTGGGACAGAGCAACGGGAGCTCACCCCGTCATTTGGATTCGAACCGCCGACCTCCCAATTGGCAAGCCCAAGAGACTTGGTGGTTTAGATCACAGCGCCACCTGTGTCCCTTGTAAAAATCTAAACTGCATATTTTTGTACACACCTTTTGCTCACTAAAACTGCTTCACGCACCGCTTTGAAAAACGGACCAAATTCCTTGCTCATTCCTCACCCAGACCCCGACACCTGGTTTATATCTGTCGCTGAGAATCAAAAGCAGGGAGAGAGAGCTATCACTCATATAGTGCTAGCAGGCTTCCCATCCAAATCTGCCTGATCACTGTCATAATAGGATGGTGGACTAGGTGAGACTTTGGCCTCATCTAATAGGACACATTTTAATCGTGTGTGTGTGTGGGTGGGTGGGTGTTGAAGCTTCGAGAAACACCTTTGTACTGTCACGTGGCCCAGTCATCTTACCATTGTCTCACCAACGCTTCTTTTTGTAAGGGGAGGGGAGGTGTCTACATAATGAAAAGCCAAAAGTGAATGGGGACAAAAACAACACATTTCATTAGATGCGATTACATACTTAATTACCTTACCCCATCCATTAGGAATTATATTAGTATAATCAAATACAAAAGACACATACACGCAAAAAGGAAATTAGTAGAGAGGGGTGTGTTGTAATAATAATAAGTAAGAGAGAGTGTATAAGATACAGGACAACATAGAAGCGGGGGAAAGAAAGCGGGAAAGAAGAGAAAGGAAAAAGAGAAGAAAAGAAGAAGAAAAATGTGTGTGTGTGTAATATATGAATATGCAGAGGAGAGGTATTCAGAAGTCATTTGAAAATAAATTGTAAGTTATTATTTTAATAGTTTTTTCAATTTTACTGTTTTATATTTGCAATGGTGTTCTGTATGTTTTTCTTGTATTGTGAAGACACTCCATGGGAAATGAATAATAATAATATATGTGCAGAAACTTTTATGAAGGGGATCAAGCGGAAGGATTTGGGGTAGGGGAGATATTCTGAAATGTGTGGCAGGAGATGGGATAATGTGTATTTTTGATTGATTGATTGATTGATTGATTGATTGATTGACTGATTGTGTTTATGTCCCACACTTTCCCAAGCAGCTCAAGATGGCACCATGGTTCTCCCCCCTCCTCATTTAATCCCCACAACAAGCCTGTAATGTAGGTTATTCTCAAACACAGTGTCTGGCCCAAGGGCACCCAGCCAGCTTCAATGTTGCGTGGAGACTTGAACTCTGGTCTCCCGGTTCCTAGACCAACACTCTAACCACTGTACCACAAGGACTGGCTCATTTTATATATTTACCCAGGAATCCAACCAATTTAAATCAATGGGACTTACTTATGAGTAGACACATGTAGGCTTGCACTGTAAAACAAGGGTGGGGGCACACCTGAGGCTGTTTTGCAATGTTCAGATAGAACATTTTGATATAATGTATTATAATTTATTACCTCCTCTTCACCCTAAGGTTCCATGGCAGATTGGAACAATTTAAAACGCAACATTAAAAACAGTTTAAAACAAAGTTGTGCGGGTCCTAAAATTCTACATGAGGGTAAAGAGCACTATCTATTTTGTATTATTTTATTGTACTATCTATTTTGAACTCGCCTACTTTGGTGCGGTTGAGGCACACCGGGTTGCTTCATTTGTCACTGTCTTGAAAGACTCTTGACAATTTGAGCAGCCGCTGAATATAATTCATCTGGAGCACCTTTTCATGCTAATATTTCCATCCCCAACCCATGCATTAATTTTGCAATATCAGTTTAAGCTTCTCTCCAGAGAGAGTCAAGGGGATACTAATCAAACCGAGTTAGAGACAATGATACGGTTGGCTGGTGCACTGGCCTTCTCAAAAATTTCAAGTGGTCATTAGTTAAGGTGCTGCTGGAGGGATTATTTGACATATCATCCGAGGTATCATGAGTTTCTCATTAGAGTAGGATGGCGCAGCCACTCAAGGCTGCCGCGAGCCAAATATATCTGATCAAATGAGGTCAGCAAAATGGAACTTTCCTGGCGCTGTAAAGTTGCATTTGTAACAAAATCAGGACAAATGCTTTTCCTGGGCAAGAGCATATAGGACAATGGTTGCAAGCACAGAAGTGTGGGCCAAACCGTGGGTGTCAGATACATCCCCCCCCTGTTCCACCAGCATGTTTTGTGTGGTTAAAAATAAAATAAAAAGTCTGTACCATAGAAGACCAAGCAGTGGGCAAGAAGTACCTGTGGGGTGCAGGTTACATACTACTCAACAAGTGATGTGGGAGAAGTTTCCTAGAGACTAGGCATACTGACTGGAGAAAGTGCATATTGCCTGGAGAAGGCACAAAATGCAGTTAAGATATTCCAGGCATAGGCACTATGACTCCCAGCATCCCTGATCACTGGTCCTGTTAGCTAGGGATGATGGGAGTTGTAGCCCCAAAACATCTGGAGGGCTGAGTTTGCCTGTGCCTGAGATATGCACGTTACCCAAAACCTGTTGGAGATTATGCATAAAGTCCAGGGAATGTGCAAAATAAACAAATTCCCAAGGGCTGTTAGAAATTTATTTTAAAGATACAGTGGTACCTCAGGTTAAGTACTTAATTCGTTCTGGAGGTCCGTACTTAACCTGAAACTGTTCTTAACCTGAAGCACCACTTTAGCTAATG